CTTATTTCAAGTAATGACATAAGGATTTATAAATATTTATATAATTTTATAAGTAAATGCAAAATTAATTTATAGCATAATCATTATTGTATAACTATCAATGTATTATATAAACTGCTACAACTGTATAAATACTTGTAATGGCAAAATGATGCAAATCAGAAGCCAAAATAAATAAATAAAAAAAAAAAAAAAAAAACTACTTGTCGTAAGGCCGTAATATTTCAATAAGTTCTGTAAGACCATGATATATATCATCAAAAAAAGTTTCATAAGAATCGGCTTAAAAAAATTGTTCAACTATTATATACAAGGATCAGTATCATTCCCAACTAATATCTTTCGAACAGTTTTTGATTTTTTAAAATTGATTCGGTAGTATGAGCTTAAATGTGGACGAAAAGTTTAACACTTTTTTTCAAATTACAAAGAAACGGCTCAGCCGATCGTCGCACAAAACTGCCAAACTATAATCCTCATCGAGATACATCAAATGGCTTTTAAATTTCTGAAATCGGTTCAGGTGTTCTCGAGAAAACGTCGATGAAAGGTCTAATTTTGACAAATGCCGAAAAAACGACAGTAATTTTTGCAAACTTTGAAGGATTTTCAAAATGAAATGACTTGTCGTAAGGCCGTAATATTAGTATGATCTATAATACTATGGATCTACCGTCAAAAAAAACATGAAAATCGTCAAAAAAAATTGTTTTAACACTTTATTACAAGAAAGCGGCCCGGCCGATGTATACCAAAAACTAATCAGCACGATTGCCAACCAATATCTTTCGAATGGTTTTTGAATTTTCAAAATCGTTCAGAATTGCGAGCTAAAACGTGGACGAACATTTTTTCACTTTTCTGCTATTTACAAAGAAACGGCTTGGCCGATCGCTGCACGAGAAACGACGATTTACGGATAAAATCTGTTCACACACACACATACATACACACTAGGGTTTATACAAAAAACGACATTTCAGAAAACCGGTTATCGAATTTTAATTTTACTATAAAACAGGTAAATAAATTTTTGCTCGAATATTCTGTAATTTATCCGCAAATTTAGTGTAATTTAGAGCAGTATTTGACTGAATTTATTCATTGTTCAATTTTATAGATGGTATACAAAATTATTTTAATTTTAATTAGTAGAACTAAAAAATAATAGTTTATCATGATTAAATAACTCTGAAAATAATTATTCGTTATTCATGCATCATTTTCACATATAAGAATGAAAATATTTTTATGATAGTGAAAGGATAATTTTCGAATAAATAAAAATATTACATTTTTAAATAAAAAAAAACATTGAATTAAAATAAAATAAAAAAATATTAGATATATGTCGATACATACTTGTTAATATCAATTATAGTTTTAAAAACAATTAAGCTAAACTCGGGTATTGTCTGTTCCGCGCAATTTTAATTAATTAATTTTAAACATTCTAATAGTTTTTTTTTTGTTTAAAAAAATATGATTTCAGTAAACTGAGAACGTCTATCGAATTGCTGCTTACACGTGTCCTTTGTTTACTCACAAAATTTCCTGAAATAGAAAATACTCTCATACTTGCGACCAAATTAAGCTTAATTGTTTTTAAAGCCTGATATAATAATTTTAAGTTTTTTGTTCTTTGTGGCTTCTAGAGTTTAAAACTCTTTTTTTAAGTTAGAGTAGAGGAAGTTACTTCTTCAAGAAGAAGTCACACTGATTTAAATTAATATATACACTGGTATAAAAATCTAAATTAATATATACAAAGCCTTTCTGGGAACCATTGCAGACTGATAAGATATGATATGCTATTGAACCGATATGATTTCAAGAATCAAAACGCTTTCATCTATATTTTATATTTGGTTATATTTGTCATTTTCTACATATACAGTAAAAACCGACTTTTTTCGCTAAAAAAACGGTTTCCGAATTCCATAATTTTTGGCCCAAAAAACGGTTTTTGAAAACCGACAAACCCTAATACATACATACTCACACATACACACACACACATACTTTGGTCTCATTCGATTCTGAATGGCTTGAAACCTCGAGAAAACATAAAATTAGCGGATCAAATTTTTTGATGAAAACAAACATTTTGAATTTCTAAATTTTCAATCAATTTTAAAATAATTTTTTTTAACAATTTTTCATCAAAGTGTTGTTTTTAAGGGTCTAAAAGGGTTAAAAATTTGATAATCAAGATAGAAAACATAAAATATTATTTACTATATACGTAATTCTTATTATATCATACCGAAATTTATTTTCAAGTGTTTTTTTTTTCAACTTAGAGGTTGTTTGAAGGGTTTTAGGGTTTTCACGGGGTTGAAAACAATTTTATTGTAAGGTGGTGGCGGAACCCGAATTGTTTTCACTTTTGAACTTGAGGTTAAGATGAACCTAATTCGGAACACAGTAAAAAAATTCAGAGGTTATACACTTTTTTCCTCTCCGTTTACTGCACTATTTGTCTTTAACAAAATCCAGCAATTATCAATATAATTACGACAATTATGTTCATGAATTGAAATCCAGATTGCTACATGCTAATAAACTTGCTCGTGAAAATTTAATACATAGTAAGGAACAAACTAAATCACATTATGATCAAAATATATTTCCACAACTTTCGAAGTTGATGATTTTGTTCTTCTAAAAAACTCCATATCCGCGGACATGTAAAAAAACTTCGACCATTATGGAAAGGGTCTTTCCAAATTCTAAAATCCGATAATATTAATAGTACAATTTTAGTTCATAATAAGCCGGTACAAGTCCATAATAATAAACTGAAAGAATTTACAGAAAATGATTAAAAGACCCCTGATTTTCGCAATCTTTATCAAGTCAAAAAATAAAATAAACTAGTTGGTTTGGTATTTAGCCTTGGGGCAAGTTACGTGAACTTCCCGATATGTTTAAATAATCGACTTAATCAATAAAAAATAAATTAATTTATGAGTGATTAAAAGTATTCCGAGTGGATTTATTACACATATTTGAAAACGAACTAACACGTTAACGCTGAGTATTTTCTAAAAGCAAATTTTCAAAATTCAACCATTTTTGTATTTGAACCAGTTTCCGTAGGACTTTAATGATTTATTAATTTTATTAAGATCAAGTACTCTATCGTTATACCAAGTAAATCGTCTAATTATGGGAGTTAGTTATGTTTAATTTTAACGAACGTCAAATAAACTACTCATTTTTTCAAATTTTGACAAATTTTTAAAGTTAAACTACTTCTCGTAAGGCCGTAATCTTTTAGTGAGTTCTATAAGACTATTCTATATATCGCCAAAAAAAGTTCCATAAAAATCGGCTTAAATTTTTTTTTCAACAGTTAATTACAAGAAAACTGCACGGTAGATTTTCACCTAAAACTAATCAATATCATTCCCAACTAATATCTTTCGAACAGTTTTTGTTTTTTAAAATCGATTCGGTAGTTTGAGCTTGAATGTGGACAAAAAGTTTAACACTTTTTTTTAAATTACAAAGAAACGGTTTGGCAGATCGTCTCACAAAACTGACAAACGATAGTCCTCATTGAGATACATCAAATGGCTTTTAAATTTCTGAAATCGGTTCAGGCGTTTTTAAGAAAATGTCGATCAAAGGTTTAATTTTGACAAATGCCAAAAAAACTATACTAATTTTTGCAGACTAAAGATTTTTTAAAATTAAACGTAATGTTTTAGTATGATCTACAAGAAAAAATTATAAGAATCGTCGAAATTATTTTTTTTAAACTTTATTACAAGAAAACGGCCGGGCCGATCTTTACCAAAAACTAATTAGCACGATTCCCAATATCTATCGTACAGTTTTTGAATTTTCAAAATCGATTCAGAATTGCGGGCTTAACCGTGGACAAATTTTTTTTCACTTTTCTGCGATTTACAAAGAAACGCCCTGGCCGATCATTGTACAAAACGATAGAAACGCGAGTCCTCATCGAGATACATGGAATGGCTTTTAAATTTTTGAAATCGGTCCAGTCGTTTTGGAGAAAACGTCGATTTTCGGCAAAAAATCTGTTCACACAAGCACAGACACATACTTTTTCCAAATTAGCGAGACGGATTTTTTGATGAAACTCCTCCTTCGGGAAATCAATACAGTAATCATAGGATAAGTGCATCAATAATAATAATCATATTATATAATAAGTGTAAATAGTAATGCTAAGTTTTAATTTCATAAATTATTTAATAAAAATTTTTGATATGTAAATCTTTGATATGTAACCGTTATATTATTGTAAATGTTATAATATTTTAATATTTCAATAAGTATTTTGTATTCTAAAGTGGTAAAATTAATTTTTCTTTGTATAATACGCCGAGGACGGCTTTATTCTTGCAAGGGAGGTGTTAAGAACTATTATGAATTTGTTATAATATTTTATGTTTATCACATTTTCATTAAAATATGTTTGTAATTTTATTTTGAATGTTGGTACCATTTATATAAAACTTTTATAAAGCGGCCCTTATCCGACAATAAGAGTAGAAACAGGTAAAAATTGATTATTATTGAGCGGGAGTTAGTTATGTTGGAACCGCCAACAAGTACAGATTAAAAATATCAACACCCAATAATGTAAGCTACAATTTAAAATAAAATCAATAAATCTTAAAAAGTGTTTGTTTTTACATATTAAGAATAGAACCAATAATTAATATCTCTTCAGTATATATATATATACTAGCTGACCCGACAGACGTTGTCCTGTACACATATGTCTATATTAAAAAAGTATTTAACTTTTCAATATCATTCAACTTTTTTTTAAAAATTATCTATAAATAAATTCAATTAATACAATAGTTATATTTATTTTCAAATGAACAATTTAACGATATTATATTCAGGAATGCAATTCCAATAATTAATGTTATTATAATTAATATTCATTATATAATTAATCTTAATATAGTATATAATTCTTTTTTTATTTTAAACTTTTAATGTAGTAGAGTTTATTGTAATGCCAAAGGATATACAATATTCTTGGTGAGATTATTTGGTGTATAAATATATAAATTATTTGGGTTTCTTACTCTTGAGCAAGCAACATATAGTTGTCCGTGATTAAAGCACGGATTTTCTAAATTTATACCACAAAAGTTCATTGTCTGCCCTTGTGACTTGTTTATGGTCATAGCATATGCCAATCTTATAGGAAACTGCAGTCTTTTAAAAGGTATTACTGAATCCGAAGGAATTAGTGGTATTCTAGGCAGAAGAACAACATCATCTTTGAATTTTCCACCCAGAATAATTGCCTCTATAATGTTTCCCATAATTTTTGTTATTGCTAATCTTGTGCCATTGCATAATTTTGGGGCATTTAAATTTCTTAATAATATAATTGGAGAACCAACTTTCAATAGTAATTTGTGCGGCGGCATTCCTGGTAAATCAAGAGAATTTAAAAATTCGACTGGATAATTGACGATTTCATCAGGATCAATAACAGTATCAACTGATTTAAATGTGAATTCATATCCTGGCAGTATCTGTTGTATTTTTAAATTCATTTCGTCTACATCCAAATTCGTTGCTGCTAAAATTGCTCGTTCTTGTAGCCACTTATGATCTTTATGATTATCCTTTAAATTTGGAAAAATATTTTCTATAAGTTTGGCTTTGCTATCAACCATATTACAAAAATTATCAGGGAATTGAATGTACTCTGTATTTTCATAAAAATCAATTCTGCCATTACCAATATCCAATAATTGTTGTGCAAATTTTGACCCCAGTGCATCATTTAGACATTGAACACGAATGTTAACCCTGAGATATAATTTCTTCACGTGGCGCCACAGATAAGACTTTTTTAAGCAGGCATTTATTTCATCAGCACGCGTCGCTCGTGGAATAATGGGCAATGTCTGTCTGAAATCGCCAGACAGTAGCAATAGGCAGCCACCAAAAAGACAATTATTATTTTTGATATCTTTCAGTGACCTATCAAGAGCTTCAAGCGAATGTTTGTGCGCCATAGTACATTCATCCCAGATGATTATTTTACATTTTCGCAAAACTTTCGCCATTCCTGATTTCTTCTTTATGTTGCACATTGCTTCTGGATTAACATGAACATTTAAAGGTAACTTGAATGCCGAATGCGCAGTTCGTCCTCCTTCAAGTAATGTCGCTGCAATTCCTGATGAAGCTATTGCCAACGCAATATTATTTTGTGACCGCACACGCGCAAGAATCAGTGAAATAATAAATGTTTTGCCAGTGCCTCCGGGTGCGTCCAAAAAAAGAATCCGCCCTGCTGTGCCTCAATTGACGTATTGATTTGATCATATACACTTTGTTGCTCGGCAGTAAGCAATATTTCATTATTAGCAACAAAAGTAGCTAAAGCAGTTTTATCAAACTGGTGTTCACGTTGAACATCGCTGTTCATGATATCTACTGCTGCTCGGCTCGGTGCTGATATGCCAAATTGAATTAACGACATGTTCGTAATTTGGATACAAATATCTTCAATCATTATTAAGGCTTCGTTATATATTTGTTCAGAAAATTCATGATTATTATCTTGATTATTAATTTTATACCGATGCAAAATATCCTCACTCATTGGGTCTTTATGTGTATTCCATAGTGCAGATGCATCTGATGGAAAACATGTTGTTAATATTATTGCAAATAATTGTCGAATTTGATGTGCAGATGAAATCAGTGCTGCATCTGCAAGAGTCATGTCCCATTGATTATCATTCTCCAATAAGTGCAACTCACGGCACGCATCATAAAAAGTTTCATATAAAATTCCATTGACTGTCCTCAAATTTTGGAATGATCTTGGTCCTATAACATTAATCAACAACAAACGTAAATAAAAGCATTCTCGTTGCTTAGGATGAACAGTATACAATCTACCCAAATTGTTTGTCATATATATGCCTTCGAATCCTAAAACAGGAATACCTCGTTTTCTAGGTACCCAATCTTTTAATTTTTTATCCCATGTAAAATATTTAGGTATATCTGTATATAATAATGTTCTAGCGAATCTTCCAGCAATATCTGATCTATTACAAAGTTTAAAAAATGCAGTTAGAGTGGTCTTCGGAGCAGTCAAAGCTTGTTGTAATATATTGTTTTCTGTGAAGTATACCCGCTGACCGTTCTCCAAATGCACAGCCAAATGTACCACAGATGGATTCCTTTCGTGTATGGGAAAACCAAAAATACGCCAAATAGCTTCATTGCTACTGACGTATCTACCCATTTGATATCGGGTTATTTCATCATTCTCATTAATACTTTTAATTGCAAATATCGCTTTGTCGCTCCCTTTATGAACATATTTGCATATGTATTTTATTGACTTCACCGAGCTGCATAGTTCGACATTTATATGTGCTTTATAGGTTTTGCATAGCAAAGGCGAATAAGGAACTACCCATCGATTATCAACATCTATTACCCCGCCATTCGACAGTCGCAATTCAAAACATTGTCCACCATTGTCAACGTCACGTCGCCGATAAGCGGGGTAACCATCAATGTCGGTGATAGTATCGTTTTGAAATGATTTTGGAAAATGTTTTGTACATTTTCCATTCACCATGCATGGTGACATAATGGTGAGAGTACCGCATGGACCATGTATCATGTTAGTAGTTATAATATCGAACAATTCCTCATCAACATTTTTATCAGGAATTTCTGCTGAGATAATATTGTCAATCTCTACAGAACGTACCTTATCAATTAACCACAACAAAATATGTGCATGGGGTAAACCTCTTTTCTGCCATTCTACTGAGTATAACCAACAGCGTGTTTCACCAAAAACAGAATGATGCGTTATCAAATTCATCAATGATTTCAACTTCTGTTTAAAAACTCGTGCAGTTATATCATGCCTATCCATCGTTGTTTGTCCCGGCATCAGCAATTTTTTTATTTCATCCCATTTGGGGTTGCACGTAAAGGTAATGAACAGATCAGGTCTGCCATATGCACGAACATAAGCCATAGCATCTTGAATGTACTCCTGCATATGTCGCGGACTTCCAATATAAGAAGATGGAAGAATATATGCAGTACCAATATGACTAATATCATTCATTGCATCTACATTACCAAGTACTGCATCACGCAAATGTATGTATTCCTCAGCGCGGAGTTTGGCTTGATTAAACTTTATGAATCTCAATCTCTCACTCTCAATTTTCACATACATGTCGACCACGAACTGATGGAATAGCTGTCTGCATTTAAGGATGTTATTTTCTTCATTAGCTCGAATCATTAATCGGTAGCAGTAAAAGTCCATGGCACTTACTTTTTTGGCAAGTTCTGCACCTGGAATAAAATATAATAAATTATTTTAATTATTATTATTTGAATTTTTTTTATAAAAATAAGATTTTTACCTGTATTTGGATCCCTTTGTTTAATATTCAAATGGTACCCATCTTCACCTTTCCAAAATATCAATGGATACTGCAAAGCATCATAAGAACGATGACTGTCCTGTATTATCTGCATGGTATTATCTCTCCGTTGTATACGTATATCACGCCCCTCACATAGATCACCAGCTATTACGACCGCGACTTCATTGACTGTTGGAACATTATATGCGCCAGCATGTTCTCCAACCGGCACTTTGTCTGCTCTAATAATAATAGCGTAATCATCGTTTTCTAGTCTACTTGAAAGAGTCTTAAACAAATGCAACAACTGGTTATGGTTTTTAAAAAATATTTCCAAAGAGTTTACAATATCTCTTTCCTTCATAAGCTGTATGTGATTAAATTCGCATCGCATGTTTGTTTGTCGTTCATCATCGCCCATAAAATAAATCTGTAAGAATTTCGGATTCACATCAGGCATGGGAAACAATGAACCGATTTGGTGGTAAACTTGACCTTGTATCTTAAATGTTGATTCGAAATTTCGACCATCTTCATTTTCAAATACTTTCGTAGCACCAAAAGACGTCATCTGAAAACATGAATTGAATTTGCGAATTTTTTTCAGTAATATTTTTGATTGAGACGTTGTTCCATCTAGTAGAGTTTTTAAAGGTTCCGGTGGTGTTGTTAATTTTGTCAATATAATTTTCCCTGATGCGCAACAAAACCTGCTGATTCTCCTTTGAATTTTAGAGCATGGCAATGTTTACATACTTTGTCCATATTACCAATGGTAATTAAAGAGTGTGATGAATAATCAATTTCAGGATCATAATTAAACGCCAGGCGCAAAAGTGATGCACGTACCAGTGCTCTGTGATTATTAACTCGTCGTTGATTATTTTCTCTAATGGCGGCGGTCGCACTTCCTTGCACCTCTCGATTTCTTAATGCCATATCTGTCAGTCGTTGAGTACGTCTCTCTAAACTTTCATTGGCACGTGTATTTGCTACTTGCTCTCTCAAATTCATATTGTCCATCATATGTTGTTCATGGGTCCTATTCAATCTTCGTTCATAGATCGCTCGAGCTTGCCGAGTACGTCTTCCAAAATTACTTGCCCCTCTGCGAATTCGTGGCATCGTGGCACGATAAAAGAAAATCCTAAATATTATAACCCGCTGGATAATGTGAATCACTTAATCTCACTCTCAAATTGTACTAAAACTATAACTGAAGAATACCAATATCTTCCACTAATACTGTATTATAACTGATTCTTATTAAGCCACTTTCTTAAACTATTATTTTCACATTACACACCAAAACAAATTATATTTATCGCCAATTAATCAAGATAGCATAGACTCTCCTGGACTCTACTTTTCCGTACTTAGCCACATCCTATCAAGTTAACAGGGATAAGACACTCTTAGCGGGCGCAGAGACATCTATCGAACTAACTCGCTTTGATAATTTTATAATATTTAGTTTTAAAAAAAATCTAGTTGTACATGGCTATATATTTTTTTCTTAGAAATATTAACACAAAATAGAGCACAATATGGACATGATTTTTACCAAAGAACGCTGAACGCGTTGACATCAACATTCATTATAATACATTTAATTCATTATATTTCATATTCATTATATTTATCTTATTCTTTTTTTTCAGATTTATAGGTTAATGTTTGTATAAATATCGTGATATGTAAGTGTTATCAACATTTAAATTCGAATTATAAGTAAATTGATATTTCTTCAACTGTCATATCTCTAAATGAATATATCCATAGATAAAAGAGTATATGAATATATCATAGGCTTCCTCTCAATTCTCAAACTGATTGTGATTTTCTTTACCTATGCTCGACTGCATAGTCCAGTTAATAAGATTCGTATGGTTAGTTTAAGTTGTTGATCTTGAGTCAAAGCAGTCAATATTTAATGACTAACTTTCTATAATATTCAATTAAACATTGAGTATAATAAATAAAACATAATGAGTGGCAAAGAATTGTTTCATGATTTTTTTTAAGAACGATTACCATCAGTTACATTTGTTACAGTTTGTTAAAGTTGAAAAAAAAGAATGTCTTGGTATGTAAAATACCATCATTTATTAATAACAAAGTTTTAATAATAAGTACTTAATTCGTCAAGCACAATTTTATTTATAATCAATTTATGTAAAACTATAATGTGATTTTGACAGAAAAAATGGAGCCATTGTATGAATAGATACAATTTCTGGAAGACTTTAGAATTGGCAGAACATCTCTAGCTAAGTGCAAGATATCACAAACATACGAACACGGTGAATATTAAAATAGAAATAAATATGACGCAACAGTTTAGTAAAATATGAGCCTATCTGCATCAGGAAAATAAATGAATTTTATTGCTTAACCAAAACAAATCACCATTAATTGTCAAAACAAATCACCATTAATTATAATTTTAGGTACTAATATTTTCATAGGTTTGTGGGACATCAAACTGACAGCTATAGAGATTTTAGTGATCGCTTTGATATAAGTTATAGTACTCTGCATGTAATAGTGCCAAGAATTTTTTCTGTGAAATATGTCTCTAAAATTCATAAAATGGCCAGACAATAATGAGAAATTAGGCATTGCCAAAATGACTTTACAAATATGATTGGTTTACCCGATGGCTGCTACATTCGAATAGTTAAATCAGCAAGATATTAAAAATCATATATGAATCAAAGAGGATATTATTCTATTAAAATGCAGTAATGTTCTATATCTAGTTCTATATGTGTTTTTATATTTTCATGTATTTTATAAATCTTGTTTAGTATCAGATTCAAGCAGTTCGTCATGATAAAAAAATTATCAATGTATGTATTGGATTTCCTGCTTCTGTACATGTTGCCAGATGTGGCATTTTACCCAACTATGGGAAACTGTCTACTCGCTAAGAACAACTTAATGATATCATAAAAAATATTCAATTTGGGTATATTTACACAAATCCATAAAAATTGTAATGGAAAACATTAAAATTGAGCATACATTTGATATACCATAACAAAAAATTCAGGCAGCTGCATTATCTAGAAGAAAGAGATGATAATCTGATTTGTCACTTTATAATAACATGCTGCATAGTTGTATAATTTGGGACTCGATGATACATTTCAGTATGTCTAAACAGAAAAGGATATTATTGAGACGTCGAATATGGTTGATTTTATTCCTTATTTAATAAATGTTTGAGCGTAGTGGGCTGAGATTGCTTATATACATTCATTGTGTGAGAGGATAAAAGTGAGTGAATTGTTAAGCATACAGTAATTGAATAGCATTGTCATACCAATCATTTGTAATAGTGCTTGAAGAAAAAGAGACTCGATGACACATTTCAGTATGTATAAACAGAAAAGATATTATTGAGACGTCGAATATGGTTGATTTTATTCCTTATTTAATAAATGTTTGAGCGTAGTGGGCTGAGATTGCTTATATACATTCATTGTGTGAGACGATAAAAAGTGAGTGAATTGTTAAGCATACAGTAATTGAATAGCATTGTCATACCAATCATTTGAAATAGTGCTTCGAGACATTAAATAGGAGTCTATGCAGAAAAGACATGGTTTGTAGGAGGTATTATCAGATTGAGTTCTACACATTGGAAAGAAAGACACCAGGTTTGAAACAAAATGATGCTTTTGTATCAAGACCTTTTGATTATGTTTAAATTGATTATTGTTGACATGTATGCTTGTGCGATTGTACTAAATTTAATTAAATAGTAAATATGTTTTGTCATAATAATATTATGTATTGAAAAGAATACAATATTACTGTATTAAAAAATCAAATATGTATGTATGTTCCACAATATTGTATTTTTTACTATATTAGATACTATACAGTTTATTATGCAAGCTTTGGGTACTAATTAATTGCTTCCAATATGTTAAATGATTGATATTATGTTTGTTGTCACATATATAGTCAAATTTAGCTGCATATTAGAAACATTAATGTATTTCTGTTGCAAAACTTGCTATCTGTTTTTGATATATCTCTACATTTGGTTAACGTGTAAATTTTTTTACATATAGACATACTTTAGTTGAATTTCCGTAATAATATCCTTTGCAATTTTTGATCTGCTTTTAATTAAACATAAATCATAACCTTCAAAGAAAATTTTTAATACATTTGTATTTCAACATCTGTTAAACTGAAATATATAATTGTATCTCGAAAAAAGATACTTTATTTAATTTCTGTCACATCTCAGCTGCTTTTCGGCAATAATATTCATAATTTTTATTCATAATCATGAATTTAAATACATGTTCTAATATAATGTCATGAGTGAAGCGAAATTTTGACAGATGACAATTGCAATGCCCAAATATTTTAAAGGTCAAACAATGATAAGCGGTTTTTTTGTAATTTTTTTCCATTTATTTCTACAATCTAACTAACAATCTATGAATCAAAAA